TAAAGGTGCAAATTTCCAATGATGAATGTCATTATATTGTATACCTAAAATGTACCAATGATTAGAATGAATAATCGGTAATGCAAAATAGGAAGAAAAGGTCCAAAGGGGTAGGGATAGTGGGAGGGGCAGGGGAAAGGAAAGAAGGAAAGGAAAAAAGATTAGAAATGGAAAAAATGGAAATAAAGTCTTTGTAAATAGGGAAGGGTGGAGGGGATGAAGGGAGGAGTCAGAATGGGGAAAAAATAAGAACCAAGATGCATAATGTAAAGGTACAAGTTCCCAATGAGAAATGTAAATGTGTTGTATACCTAAAATGTACCAATACAAGAATTTAAGAAAAAAAAGAAAAAAGATTAACACCCAAAATATATAAGGAACTAAACAATTTAATATCAAGATAAGAAAAAATATTAAAAAGGGGCAGAATATCCAATAGACATTTTTCAAAAGAAGACATACAAATGGCCAACAGGCATATGAAAATTGCTCACCATTCCTGTCAGCGAAATGCAAATTAAAACTACAGTGAGAGGTTACTTCTCACATGGTAGAGAGGGTATTATGAAAAAAGATGAAAGAGAAGTGTGTTGAGTCTGTGAAGGAAAAGGAAGAATTGCACACTGTTGATGGGAATGTAAACCATTATGGCCATTATAGAAAGCAGTGTGGAAGTTCCTCAAAACATTAAAAATAGAACCACCATATGATTGAGTACCCTCACTGCTCGTGCATATCTCAAAGGAAATAAAATCAGTATGTTGAAAAGATAACCTTACTTCTATGTTTATTGTGGCATTATTCACAATGTACAAGATATAGAAAATAACTTTAGTATCCCTCAAACTTTAAAAAGAAGGAAATTCTCTCATTTTTGACAACACAGATAAACCTGGAGGCCATTATGTTAAGTAAAATAAGTCAAACACAAAAAGACAAAGTACTATGTAATCTCACAATTATGTGGTATCTAAAAAAAGTTGAACTCACAGAAGTAGAGAACAGAATGTTAGATACTAGAATCTGGGATTGTTGGTCAAAGGACACAAAATTTCAGCTAGGAGAAATAAATTTAAGAGATCTGTTATACATCACAGTGACTATCATGTCACTAGGGATTGTATTCTTGACAATTATGTTGAGAGTAGATTTTAAGGGTTTTCACCACAAAAGTGATAAGTATACCTATGTTAATTAGCTCCATTTAACCTTCCCACGATATGTCCATATTTCTAAAATCATGTTGTATACAATAAATAAATACAAATTATTTTGTTAATTAAAATTACATGAATTTTAAGAAAACTCTACCTGGGAGCGATATCCAAGGCATTTATTTGCACTCCACTAAAAACAAAGGCAGTTGTTGCATTAGCAAATATCAGACAGATGATAATGCTATAAAAGTTGAAACTTAGGTACAGCATGCACATACTGAAGATGACAGGAAAGAGCATTCCTGGGGAGGGATACAGATAACATGGTTAGGTATATACTGGAAATAAGGAGGAAGTAGTACCCACCACACATTGGAATGTCTGGCTTCTCCTTACCTAGTGTGGTGAAGAGTTTTCGGATGGTAATGGTGCTGAGAATATTCCTGGACCTGAGGAAGTCTGCTATCTGACCTCCTAGGATACTAATGATGTAGGCAAACAGAGGGGCCAGGCTGGATAGGAGCCCGTTCTGCAGAAGAGATGTTATTCTGAGAGTGTGTATGGTGGATGAGGAGCTCTGATACACAGAGCAATCACTGCACTGGAATTCAGTATAAAATGTGTGTACTTTAATGCAGAAAACAATCAGTATACAACACCAGGATTACTTCTGGGGCCACATGACCCAAAATAAAGAGGGAAATAGTAGTATTTGTCATAACCTGTCTATTTTTTACTCTTAGGATCAAGGACCCTGAAATCACCCTATAATATAGAGAAAGACTGTGTTGGAATGGGAAATGACTGCCCCAGTGGGATTATAACTATGATAATGATGACAATTACAAATATGTGTACGGTGCTCACTCTGTACCAGCCACTGTTAATCCTTACAGCAACTCTATGGTTTCATGGATAGAATTGAGTCCAAAAGGATTTATTTAATCTTACTGTTATGCTAGTGCAAGCCTGGTCTACTGATTCATTATGGAAAGCCCATAAATGGCAAGCCCAGATTGCATTTTTAAGAATTAACTTTATTGATACATTTTAGATATACAATATAATGACATTCATCATTGGAAATTTGTACCTTTACATAATCTATCTTGGTTCTTATTTTTTTCCCCATTCCCCTGCCTTCCCTTCAACCACTTCCCCCTCCCTATTTACAAAGACTTTGTTTCCATTTTTTCATTTTCTCATATTAATTCCATTGCCTTCTTTCCTTTACCCAATCCCTCCCAATTCCCATTCCCCTTTGGACCTTTTCTTCCTATTTCACAATATCTGTTATACCTTTTGATCCTTATTTACACTTTCAGTTTCTCACACCAGTATTCGGTATTTACACGTCTGTCCTATTTATTTCACTTAAGAGTATCACCTCAATGTGCATTCATTTATCTATAAATGTCTCTAATTTCTCATTCTTTATGGCTGAGTAGTACTCCATTTTATTTTTTTAAAAACCCCACATTTTCTTTATCCAGTCTCTAGTTGATGGTCAGTTGGGTCAGATTGCATTTCTAAGGGAACCTTTTCTGATTATTTTATCAAATAACAGAAAGTTCCACATCAGTGATTCTCAAGTCAGATAAGTAATGAAGGTGTCACAGAAGACCCAACTCATGGGTTATAGCCCAAATCCAAATCCACTGTCATACCCCAGGAGAGAGATGTGTAAGTGCAGAGCAAAGTGTCAGGGCTTGGCTATGTGACTTTCAGGGAAGGATCTCAATCACCAAAGGGAATAGTCATGTTGAATTTTTAGTTATACACAAGGGTAACCACAGTGATGGAGGTAGGGGAAGTGTGAGAACATGGGTTACAGGCATATTTTTGGTGGCATGCCAGACACTATGTTTATACCAATACTTTTTATTCTGGCTACTTTTCATAAAAAATCAGAAGCCATGAATCTTCAGAAAAACAGCACTAGATAACACAGTGGAGGAGGCAGGTAAAAGCTGAGACCAGGGTCATTAGAGTCAGAGAAACAGAGTCCTTCAAAAAGTTATAACAAGAACTTAAGATATACTAACCTCTCTCATGTTAACATGAGCTATGGAGTTGATCAATATTGGGGTGTACATAAGTGTGAAATTACTTGTCCAGATATTGGCAAAATTACAGAGGAAAATGGCCCAGAGTGGGAGAGACTGCAGCATAGCCTTGATGGGCAGAGTAGTCAAATTACTTGAGCTGACCTGAAAAATAATTCATTAATCAGATGAGGACAAACTGGAACCTCTTTTGTTCAGAGCAGAATCTGGGAGTTACAGAGCACTGTGGTCTACCTGCTGGGCGAGGGATGATGTGATGTATTCTTTCTCATTGATGCTTATACATGGGTGGTTTTTTGGGTCATCATAAAACAGAACATACCAGAAAAGACATAGGACACAGCCATAAGCACCTATTAAAGAAAGACAAGTTAGAATTGGAAGGTTCTGTCTGTAATAGATCTTTTAACCTACTATGCTTTCCATTGTATCACTCTGAGAACCTAGATGTCCCCTTTTTCTTGAAACTTTGCAACAAGGCTTATTTTTTGACAGTCGTTGTATCCACAGCTTTCTTCCTACAGAATAAATTTTACAGAAACAGCAGTAAGCCTGTGGCCTCTCCTGACTAGATAGCTTCTACATTTGTCCCTGAGATGGGCCTTTCTGTCCTGAGGTTCTTATCTTTTCAGATTTGGAATGTGTTGCATCCTGAGTAGGGCAGATCCAAGCCTATTCAGGGTGTGACAGTTACTCAGTTTTTTTTTTTTTTTTGTACCAGGGATCGAACTCTGGTCCTTGTGCTTGTGCAGCAGGTGGTAAAACCACTGAGCTAAATCCCCGGCCCTGACAGTTACTCAGATTTGAGGGCTCAGCTTTAGCTGTGCTCATGAGATACCACTGAGGCTTCAGGAATTATCCAAACCCTATAAATGCAAAATTCTTGTTTTTGAATTTTTTAATACTAATAACTTATATATATACACACACACATACCTTCTAGCTCTGTGTTTCTCTCCCTCTTTGTTCCTGTTCCTGTCCCATTCTGAATTTTTTCACTCTCTCTGTCCTCTCGACTGTCACTTTTACAGGAAGGTGAATACAATTTCTAGCTTCCCTATTGTTATTAGTTTGTTCTGTACTTGTCTCTGTTCTTTCACTCTGTTTTTTCCTCCTGTCTCCAACAGATCCCCACAATTTGCATGATCTTCCCGTGTCCTCTAGCCTCACCTCTGACCTTTCCCTCTCCCTCTATCTCTCTATCCCTCCCTCCCCAACCCCTGCTAAATCCTTACCCTTAAGGGTAATTTTGCCATATTGAAGGGTTTACTTACTACAAATATATTTTGGGCTGGTCCTAGATTTTGTTCTAGCTTGCCCTGTTAAAGTGACAGATTAACTGCTACCACAAATTGTCATTTTCTAAGCTGTGTTTGATGCTGATTGTGTCAATTGGGCTAAGGTATTGTGATTGATCTAATCAGTTGCCCTCCCTGGTATACTGAAAACGAGATTGCCTAAGAGTCATTAGAGACACAAAGCTTAAAAAGTCCAACTATACCTGGAAGATATCTCTGAGAAGCAATCACTCTAAACACCAGTAATAAAGATACTCAAAATAAGAAATATTGGAGTATCAGCCCAGGAACTAAAGCAAAAAAAAGCACAAACAACAGAAGTAAAAATGAGAAGACACCTTGGCAGGACACAAACACAGAATTCCAGCTCACCAAACACAAATTCGGGGGGAAATGAGGTGGAAAAATATGATAATTAACCACCTGGACACCCTGAACTGATAGCACAGGAAGTAATAAAACAGATGAATGAGGCTCTAGAAAAATTTAAAACAGAAATAATTTCCCAGATAACTACAGAGATGGAGAGCAGAGTGAAAGACATGATTAGAGGCTCTAGAACAGAAACAGATAAAAAGATAGATGAGCTCAGAAACATGCTGCAAGCCATAAATGCCCAGCATAAGAAAGAAATGGAAGCCATGATTGCCCAACATAAGAAAGAAATGGAATCCATGAAACAGATTCAAACAGATATCTAGGAGATTAAAAACTCCATTGAAAAACAAACAAACAAAAAACCCAACTCCACTGAAAGTATTCACAGCAGGTAGAGCGATTGTGAAGACAGAATATCAGATATAGAAGACAGGATTGTGGTTAAGGACCATGAAAACAGAAATTTCTTAAAAATAGTAAAGGACCACAAGAAATCAATCCAGCAGCTGCTAGATGATGCAAAGAAGAATAACATAGACTGATAGGAGTCCATGAAAAAGCAGGACAAAGTACAAATGACATAAAAAAACTGTTCACAGAAGTAATAGTAGAAAACTTCCCAGACAGAGGTGGAGAATTTGACCTACAGATAAGTGAGGCATATAGAACTCCAATTAGCTATGATAAAAAAAACTACACCTAGACATATATTAGTCAAGATTCGAGAAACCCAACAGAAGAATAAAATCCTCCAAGCAATTAGAGAAAAGAAACAAATCCCCTACAGAGGAAAGCCCATCGGAATCACAGCAGACTTCTCAACACAAACCCTCAAGTCAAGGAGAGCCTGGTGTGGAGTATTTCGAGCCCTAAAGGAAAATATCTTCCAACCTAGACTGTTGTATCCTGCAAAATTATCTTTCAAAATCGATGGGGAAATTAGATACTTCCATGACAAAGAACACATGAGAAATTTCATGAACACTAAACCAGCACTCCAAACAATTCTAAACAACATCCTAGAAAAAGACAATGAAGATCCTAACTCCATGAGGCCCAACAGAGGGAAATGACCAGGCAAGGCAAGAAATTAAAGGGAAATGGGGAAAAATAAAAAATAAAAGAGCCAACAACAGTAAAACATCATGACAAGGATGAGTCAATATTTATCAATTATAACCATTAATGTTAATGGTCTCAATTCACAAATCAAAAGAAATAGACTGGCCAAATGGATTAAGAAGCAAAATTCAACAATATGCTGTATACAAGAAACACACCTAATTCCAAAAGACATTCATAGACTGAAAGTAAAAGGATGGAAAACAGTTCTCCATGCCACAGGAACCGGGAAAAAAGCAGGGGTAGCAATCTTATTTGCAGACAAAGTAGATTTCCAACCAAAACTAATTAAGAGAGACAAAGATGGTCACTACATCCTTGTGAAGGGAACAATCCAAGAGGAAGAGATGACAATCATCAATATATATGCACAAAATATGACTGATGCCAACTATACAAAACAAATATTAATGGACCTGAAAAACAAAATAAGCGCTAATACAATTGTAGTGGGCAACCTCAATACCTCACTATCACAAATAGACAGATCATCTAGACAAGAAATTAGCAATGAAATTCTAGACTGAACCAAGCTATTGAACAAATGTACTTAATAGATGTCTACAGAGTGTTCCACCTCACAAAATCAGAATACACATTCTTTTCAACTGCACACGGGTCATTCTCCAAAATAGACCACATGCTAGCTCATAGGACATGTCTAAGTAAATGCAAAAGAATTGAAGTTACCTCCTGTAAATTATCAGACCATAGTGCAATAAAATTGGAGATCAATAACATAAGAAACAGCAAAACCCCCACAAACACATGGAAACTGAATAACACCCTCCTGAACAACCAGTGGGTCACAGAGGAAATTAAAGAAGAAATTAGACAGTTTCTACAAGTAAATGAAAATGCCAGTACATCATACAGGAATCTGTGGGACAGAATGAGAGCAGTTCTACGTGGGAAATTCATAGCAGTGAATGTCCATATTAGGAAAACAGAGAGAACTCAAATTAACAGCCTAATGCAGAACTTCAACCTCCTAGAAAAAGAAGAGCATAACAAACCCAAATCTTGAACAAGGGAGGAAATTATAAAGATCAGAGCAGAAATCAATGCAATGGAGACTAAGAGAATGATACAAAAAATCAATGAA